CTGTACTTTTTGGTGATAACGGGGGCAGTCGTAACTGTTAAGGCCTGTGTATAGCACTAAAGGTAAGTGTGGAGCAGTTGTTGTTTGTGAATATCGTATTCTGATACACATTTCAACCGTGATGCTTATTAGACACTCGCCTAGCATGTTTTAGAGTAGAATGACCAGTGAGGGCCGTGATGCATTCTGGATCCCGTGGGAGGTGCCTGCCATTGCTTCAGGAGTCGTCCCTCCCTGCTGACGGGCTGAGGTCTGCTTCATTGACCGTTGGGGTTAGAATACCTTGATTAGCAGAAAGGCCTAGGATGGTGGTTTTGAGTATCTTAAAACCCCAGGAGCTTTGTATGTGATTTGAAATTTAGTAGCCTGATACTTATTTTTACAATCAGTATAGAATAGTGCGGATCATCTTGTCCACCCCCTCATTATAGCTCAAGAGGCAAATGACTTGTTCAGGGTCTTGTGACAGATCAGCAGACTGTACGAGGCCAGAGTCTCTGACTGACGTAGGACTCTGAGTCTGTACCAGGTAGTGGTGGACAGCAAGGACGCCTGACTTGGGCTGGTGCTGACTCAGGGAAGCTACCACAGCTGGCAGGAATGCTTCCTGGCATGTGGTCCTCTGCCGTTCTCCACTTCTGCCATGGCCCATGTACTACATCCTTGCAGGAAACACTCACCAAGCACCTCCTGTGTGCTCTGTCCTAGACCAGATCATTGAAAACCACAGCCCGAGAAGACATGGACTCTGCCTTCAAGTTGAGAGCAGCAAACCTTTGGAAAGCATTCTGCAGGGTGTCGTATGGGTTAGGATCCTTTCCTGGTTCTGTAAATCTTGATGAAAACAAATTTGCTTACAGATCTCACCTGTGTCTTGTTCATGACTTAGTTACGAGAAAGAAGCCTGTATGATCATGACTTTTGTGAAAAGACCAGCTACGTGTAGCTTACAGGTGCTTAACTGAAGCTGTGCTCTGTAAGGCCCTTTGCCAGAGTGCAGAAGGATATTAAAACTGACTAAAGCATAGAACAGTTTCTTTTAGTATGTCAGAGCAGTATTGTTTGCAGCCTTCAAACGTCATAGTAATGGTTATTGTTAATAAATACACTTAAATATGGAAGGTGACTCTTGAAATTACTCAGAGTCCAGTTCCAGCCTTGGAGCCCAGGTCTCTAGCCCCTCTTTCCTGCCTCAGCACTTTTGAGCTTTCGTTCTTTTCCTCAGCCAAGCCAGCCTGCTTGCCAGTCCCGCACATGACTAACTCTCTCTTGTGTGCCTTCGCTTGACTAATTCTGCTTCCGGGATGCCTTTCTTCTGTGATGCGTGTCTTCAGTGCTGTTACGGTGTGGCCTCCAGTCTGCCTCCTGCAGAGAGCCGTAGTAACATGTCCCCCTTTCCTTCCATGTCCTTTCTGTGTGTGCATCGCCAGGTGACAGTCTTAATAACCTGGGCACAAACAGACCTCAGGAAACTAAGATAACCCCCATCCACCAGGCCATGAGCATGTCTAGAGCAGAGATTGTGTTTGGTGTTTGTAGGTTGCTGTGCTAGCTTCAGGATAGAGAAGAACAGAAAAGTTAGACGTGAGAATATGAGAAGCAATCCAGGTCCATGGGTAAAGCTGTCACAAACTAGTAAGTGATCATTTCTGCTCCCAAACAAGACAAGAAATTTTCTTGAACACATTCCACACATAGGAGTCTGCTAGTGAGCTGGAAGGCTCTGCCTGTCAATCATCCTAGCTTGTTGATCTGCTGTTCTGTGATCCTTTGGTATTGTTTAATGTATGTGCGTATTCTCTTCCACACTGAAACTTCTTGAGGACAGGGACCACATCTGTTATTTACCTCTGTGTACTCTTCCCCCACCACCCCTCACACTATTTTATCAGGACGGGGAAGCCTCCTGTAAACACAAGGAACTAGAGTAAAGCTTGTGGGTTCTGATTCTACCCCAGCCGTTACACTGCACACTGTATGTAGTCTGTGGTGTGTGCCTTCATGATTGCTTAGTGAGGTGTTTCTGATCCATTCTACTGAAAATGAAATCCAAGTTTAGAGTTTTCAGGTCTTCAGGTTGATCTTCAGCTGTTGATCTAGAACTAAAAACCAGGTCTGGCTTTAGAACCTGTATATGCTTTTCACTTCCCAGAGTAAATCCTTGAGTCCTCTCCAGGCCCCAGAACCCTTTGATCTGTACTGGTGCTGTTGTTGCTACCACTGTGGTGCTGGGACTTCATATCATCACTGGGAAGTAGGCAGAGCTAGTGTTACCATGACCCCACTTCACAGACTTGCCCAAGATCTCACACTGGTAGGTGGAAGAGTCCAGACCTTAGCCTCGCTCTTCCCACACGTCACAGTGCTGTCTTAATTTATTTGCATGAATGCATGACTGTGGTCAGGGTGCACTGAAGCCTTTCCTACAGAAATGTCAGTAGACACGAACATTGCATGGAGCCGTGTGCAAGGTGATACAGGGCACCCCTAAATGCTGGAGAACAGTTAACAAGTGAGAATTAAAAGATGGGTGCCCTTTGTTCTGTAAATTAACTCTTGTAAATTCTCCATAAAACTAAGATTCTGAGCCATTCCCAGTTGTAAAGTTGGACTAAAGAGTAGGAAGTCGCTGGGCAGTTCACACACTGGCGGCTGGTCCCAGTATGGACCTGTTACTATGGAAATGTAATTGTGTTAGTACTGTCAATGGTGTGTCTGCCAGGCAGTTCCTCGCTGCCTTTGGTCGGGCCCCTGCCAGTTCTGCTTCTGCCTTTCCCTACCATCCCTCACAGCCTTCAGTTACCAACACCTTTAAACCTAGGTCATTTGGTTCTAAAGTTTTGTGTTTGGGTTTTTGGCCTTTTGAGCCAGGCTCTTGTTTTCACAGATGTGAATTTTCTTAGCCTGCAGTGTGCTGTTCTCAGCAAGGTACCCCTTTCCTTCACATCAGTCGTTAGGATTCAGTATCACACAGTTCCTCATCACAGTCACAACTAGAAAAACATGGATTCTCAATCGTGGCCAGGTCAGAGCAGGCCAAGAGCATTGCTGGTGGCTCTCCACTGGCATTTCTATCTGTTTGCCACAAAGGCACCGTTCCACCGAATCTGCCTGTGTTCTGGCTCCTGTAGGGAGTGCCTTAGTACCTGTCCTGGAGCCAAAGGGACATTTAACCACACTCTCCTTCCCCAGCCCCTTCCACACCTGAAGCGTGAGGCCTCTCCTTCCCACAGCCTCAGCCACAAGCCATCTCTTTCATTTTCCATACACCATTACAATGGCCTCCATCCTGGTGAGTCTGCACAGCGCTCCCAGAGGGTGTGAACCAGTGAACACTCCAGGACAAATGCTGAGCTCCTTCCTTTGGCCATGTTACCCTTCCCTCTCCCTTCACTTCTTCCTTGTCCAGCCTTATAAGAGCACAAAGCAGCAAAAGCAACTTAACACAGGCATACAAGACAGCGGGACCGCACAGTCTCCTCATTTGTGTGGACTTCTGCCTCCCTCGGGTAGTGCGGCCGTGCTTCTCAGGAGCCACTGTCGCACCCCATCTGTGGCCCAGGTCATCTTGGGTCTGTTTGTTTCGTCCACTTGTCAAGGGCAGCCGCTGCCGCCTGTCTTCCTCGTCTGCCCAGCAAGTGGCAGTTCCTTTTACATGGTCACTGAGCAGTGAACTCGGCTGCTTTTCCGGAAAAGTGCAGTTAGGGTGGCAGCTGAGATGGATTTACTGCAAAGAGCACAGGACTCTGTTTCAGGAGACCTGTCCCATGCCCAACTCTGCCACTAAGCGGCCTTGGGTAAGTGGCTCAGCCTCCTTTCAAAAAGGGTGTTGGACTGAATGATCCCTGAGGCTCCTTCCAACTTCGAGCTTTATGGTTTTGATCCTGTTTCTTACTTAGAACACGCAGGAGCCTCAGTTAGCCAGCCAGCCACATTTCCCAGACTCTGGCCTCAGGCGTCATCCTCTGACACTAGCCAGAGCCATAACATAGGCTCCTGTTCCTTTAACCCAGTCACTGAGCTGAGCTCACCTCCCCAGGCTTCACTGTGCTGTCTGAAGGGACAGTAGCAAGGAGAGGGGAGGTGTGACTGTTTCCCTTCACACCAGAGCCCACCAGCGTTACAGCGGCTGCGTCATATTCTCAGACAGTGGTGCCCGTCTCCATGAGAAATAAGTTTTAAGCAACTCCCGTGCCTTCGACGCACTCTTAAGCGCACTACCAGCCTGTTGGGAGTGGAAGGCTTGGAGTTAGCAACTCAGTAGGTAGATTTGTCACGACCTCCATGCAATAATAAATACGGCCTATGAAGAGATTAAATAAATCTTTCTTGATGCTTTTTGATTGGCTTAATCAATAATTAACCATCTTAGATGAGGCTGTAACTTGTGGAGTGGATACAATTGGATTAGGTGAAGACAGTTGGGGAGCTTTGAAGAGATTAAAAATGGCTGTCAATCCCATAATTAAACTGCCACAAACAAAAGCAATGGTGTTTTAAACGAGAAAAAGGAAAGAAAACGTGGGGAAATTCAGCTGATTTGAAATGAATCCACAAGTATTCATTGAGTCAGAGATGGTGGGAACAAAACCAAATTTGACAAATTGATTCCATTAAATGAAACATGCGTTTAATTCTAAGTTGGGCAGGTGAAACTCTGGCAGCTTCAACTTCTCTAAAACAAATGAATCCACAAGAGGAAAAAAAGTTAATTATTCAAAACAGAAGAGACCTGCTCCTTGTCCTGAGCCCATTTGGACCTTGACTTTTCATACTTTAATTGGCTTAGTGGGTTTGGCTTGTGTGAATGAAGTCTTTCATCTCCCTTTTTCTTCCCATGCCCCTTTCATCTTTCTATTACCAACACAGAGAGAGAGCTTGAGAGAAAATACTTTGGGTTTTAGAAACTTCTCTTTTTAAAAGGATGTGGCTCTGGGTGGGGGAGGGGTGTGTGTGATGCTGGTGAATACTTTTTTCTCTTTCTTTTATCTCTTTTCCAGAGAGGAGTTGCTTAAACCAATGGGACTAAAGCCTGATGGGACAATAACGCCTTTGGAGGAAGCTCTCAGCCAGTATTCCGTCATCGAAGAGACCAGCTCCGACACGGACTGAAGAGCACCGTCGCCTGTTCCACTCTCAATATGGCTTTTATCAGCATCTTCTCTCTGTAGCTCCAGGGGAATCTTCTTCTCTAAACATGTATGCCCTTGCTTTGGCTAGAAACACATGAGCTGGTTCCTTGGGGAACCAGCATATTTAAGAGGTGGTCCTGTGTTCTCTGCAACATCGAGGCATCTACACAGAGCTGGAGTTAGGCAGTCGCGGGCTAGGAGCAGAAACGGTCATTCCATTTCATCAGGATGCAGTGTGGACTTCACTCTGCACAGCAGCCTGGTCCAGCCTGGCAGTCCTGTTGCCGGGATTCCTAGCTGAAGATCCAGCCGTGTCCTTCCACCCACTCATGTAAACCGCCCCTTCTGAGTCTGTCCAGAACCCGAGGCACATGAGCGCCTGTGGAGCTAGTACCAAGGGCTGAGGCAGGGGACTCCTCAGTGACCCAGCCCCACACTTCCCTTCAGTTTTGTATACACATGGAAACATGCACAGAGCCCCAGACTTACAAAGTTTGTATGTCACCCCGCTAAACTTGAGAACACAGCTCTCCTGAGGAGTTAGATGACGGCTTCGTTCCAGGCAGCTACACGTGCCTATTCATCCCTCATGTTCTGAACACTACACGTACCGTAGGGCTGGACCACCATCCGTACTGTGGCATCCAGAGCGCGCGCATTCTGAGCTCTCAGGGTGCCGAGTGCACACTCATCCTCCAGGCAACAGAGAGGATGGGGCTCCCCAGTAGTGGGGTTCTCATGGCCTGTGCTGGGGGTAGGGAGCCAACAGCACCATTTGTACATAAAGGTCATTCGTATGTCACGTTTTAAACAAGGGTCTCTGTGTGTATTTGTGTGTGTTCTTTCTACCATATGTGATCAGTTTAATGGTAACTTTATTTATTTAAAAAAGAAACACAAATAGTTACTATTAAACTGATTAAGGCTGTTTATTTTTACTCTTAGAAATGGTCATATGAAGTAGATGTGCAATCATGTAGACAGTGGGCCAAGTTGATCAGTGGCTAAAGTTGAAAAGGGGTTGGTTTCCTTTCATATATGTATGTGTAGGTACACACACATGCATATATGCACACACATAGATTATGTGCTTAACCACTGCCTTTTAAAACTTTAAATTAAATAAAACATTGGGGATGATTCAATTTAGCCATCTGTGTGTGTGTTTCTTTCTGGGTACCATTGCCCGGTTTATGTTTGAGAGTGTTTTTCCGTCTGTTCCCTCACTTGTCATCACCTACCCTCTTTCTTTAATGAGCAAAGCGTGCGTAGTACTAGTGAGAATGGCTTTTATCCTAAATTATTCCTGACAAAGCTGCACATCAGGAATTGAATAGCAAAAGGCCTTTGAGCTGTCAGAGATGTAAGTTTCTTAAAATTTACTCAGAGGGGAAACCTTAAAGAACATTGCATCACTAAGATTTACGTTTATTTCTAATGTGTGATTGCTTGGGCTTTAAAAGCCCCACCCCCACCCCACTCCCTTCACCCCAGCACGCACACACAAAAGCAGAAAGAGTCTACTAGACTTAAGAAGGGGCACTGAAAGCAAGGGAGGCCCGCTGAGGGTGGAAGGCCTGCAGGACCCATTCGTCACAGTGCAGATGGGGTCAGGTGCATGTCAGGATGGGAGAGAAACCCGCTGTCCAAGGCAGAGCAAACCTGGGACTCTATGTACCTAAAGAGTCAACCCAGAAAATACTGTGTGTGATGCTGTGGTCATAGACATATTTCCTAATGACCCGCTCTGATCAATCAAGTTCAAAACGCTTGTAAGCGACCAGGGTTTCCACCCATAGTCGCTGGGAAGAACTTGTGTTCCATGTCTCGGCCAATGGCATCTGCAGTTTTAGCTTAAATGGAAAAATCCAGAGCAAGGGAATTTATTTTGTTATTTCATTCTACAAATGCATTTTGAAAGTATTTTTATAATCTCTGGTTGGATAGCTTTTCCGTGAGTAGCCGCCTAGTCCCCCAGGCCGTGCCTGGTAGGGTGCCCCTCGCTGGCCCTGTGCTCACGGCCGCAGCTGTGCTCCTGGACGTCCCGTGCATCCCTTTCCCTTTCCATCTCTCTGTACGGGGTACTTCTTTTTCTAAAGGATTAATTCTTAGAAAGAAGGGGGAGTAGTTTCGCCTCGCACACAGAAAGAGCACTGAGCATCCAGTTCCGTGTCCGCTCTGTAGCTTCACCCTATCTGGAGGCAACACCTCTCCAGAGAGCTTCCCCTTGGCTCTCCAGCCCAGCCGCCGGCCAGAGTCCAGTCGCAGGCTTGAAGTCAGCACCTTCTCTACTGTGTGCCCAGCCGCGTAGCCAGAGGCTTTAAGATGGAAACAGCACGGTGGCGGTTCTCGGGCCATCTTAAGCAATAACTGTTTTAGCAGAAGCAGTCTCAGTCTTTCCCACCAGGGAGGTGCCAGCATGGGCATGAGAAGCTTGGTCAGTTAGAGTTTAGATGAAGACCTGGGCACCGCTAGGTCAGAGACCAGTGGTGTAGGGCCATTCCCTCTCGAGGGAGGGTGATGGGACAGAGACCATTGCAGTCTCCAGCACTCTGCCCACACCAGACTTTGGAGGTGAAGGACGGATGGAGAAGTGTGTCCTAAAAGCATCCGAGCTGCCTGACGGAACAGCTCCCAGATGGCTGTGACCCTTTCAGGTGCCCAGTGGCCCTCAGTAGCAGACAGGGCAGATGCCACCTTTCCTTCGTATAGGACAGGCTGAAGCTTTATAAGTAACTAATCGCTCCTCAGCACATGAGTCTCATTCAACATGCATCCCCCTGTCTATCAAAGTCATCCGTGCTCCTGGTAGAATGTTTGGAAAGTGCGGGAAGCAGTAAAACTAATGATTGACTCAGAGTCGTCCCCCACCCCAGAGCATCACTGGTAATCTTTAGTGTATTCCCCTTCCTGTATTTTTTTCTATGCATATATAATTTATTTTACTACAAGATTGGACCATGCTGTGTTTACAGATTTGTACCCTGCTTTCTTTAACATATTGTGAGCATTTTCCCATACCAATAAATATTCTTTAAATGTTAATGGCTGTGACATTTCCATTACATGAAGTGTGGCAAACACCGTAGATCTCTGCAGCCAGCATGATGATCGATAACCCATCTCCCACCCATTAAAAAGATGTCGCCTCTGCCTGTTAGAGCTGCAACAACTGGAGAAGAGCAACTGTGGCGGCATGCCATGGCAGCAAGATCAGAAAGTCTTGCAAAGTGGGTAGCAAGGGTGCCTCCCAGAGGACCTGGAAATGCAAAGACGACAGCCTTGATTGGTAGGGAGCCCGGTACCAGCTCTTTTAGAGGTGTCCCCTGTGGTTGTGAGGGGGGGGGACAAGCAACGTTGTCGGAGTGTGGCGAGCACAACGCAGAGAATGCACCGTGTTCTAGGAAGAAGTCATGGAGGTGAAGTCAGTAACAGCGGAGATGAGACTTGAGCAAAGGGCGAGGTCCAGGAAAGACTGGGAAGAGTGCAGACGTGCTGCTGAGCCTGGCGTGGTTTCCAGAAAGGCCTGATCAGATAGCTTTGTAATTGGCATTCTAACTTGAGCATGAACTTAACATGTACAGGGGAGAAGCTGTTCCTGCCAGAATTGCCTCAAACTGGAGCTCATAGACAAAGGCACACAGTGTGTCTACAGAGAGACTGTAGGCATGACAACAGGTATCCCACGCTATGGGGCAGACTGGGTTGGAGGAAAGAAAGACAAGATAAAAAGCCATGGTCGCAGCATCTGTAGGTAAGGAGGGTCTGAAATGGAGCATAAAAGGCGTGGACGAGGGCGAATTCAAGAAATACTTAAAACCGCAATCAACACGATCTCTTCTGAAGGCAAGAAAATTCAGCTCGTGGAGAATCTCAAACTCAGTGGGTTGGGAGCCAAAGAGGGTAACTGAGAACTAGGAATTCTTTCCAGGGCACGAGAGGGAGGACTCAATGGCTAACAGCCCTGCATGTTGTAGAGGGCCAGCCCCGAAATGGTGCCTCTCAAACCTCTGTAACTGCAATCCCAGGCACACATGGTACAGACATACATGCCAGAAAAATACCCATACATAACAAAAAAGAACTATTTCCAGGACTTCAAAAATTTCAGGTCACTGTATTAGCTTCTGTAATTTAAAAACGATCAAGGTATTTGTCTCGTAAAAGAGACTAGGTAGTCGTGGGCTCAGTGCTTCGGCGGGTTCAGTTCAAGGTCAGCTGACGGCATTGCTTTGGGGCACAGCAAGGTGGCGAGTGAGTGTACTGGGGCCGGATTCATCTTAGAGCCAGCAAATGGAGGCGGGGACAGAAAGGACTGCATCCCACCAACAGGGAATGGTCCCACTGATCAGTGCCTCCCCAATAGACCCCACCTCCCCACATCTCCATTCCTTCCCAGTAGGCCCAGGCTGAAGAATAAGCCTTTAATACATCACCCTTTAGGGAAGAAGAGACTACAGTTCCCAAGCATTTCTATACCACACAAACTGTGCCGTGAGTGTGCAAGCACTGCATGTATATATACATCCTGGTATCAGGGACGGTGGAGGTCTGTTTCTAGGCTTTACTGTGTTCAGCAATTGTGTGGAAAGGAGAAGCTGGGAAATTCAGGCTTTAAAAAGATCTTATAATTAAAGACTTAAAGTCCTTGGTAACCGACATCAAAAGAAAACCAAAATTTGCTTATCTGAAGCGCCTGGAGGCATTCAAGGAAAACAGGTGGTGGATCGCAGTTCTATTGCGGGAGGGGCGGTTACAAAAGGTTATGAAGGGATTTATAAAAACCCTGCGATGTTGGCTATGGTAGGAGGGTTTACACCATGGGAATTGGCCAGCACTGCTTGCCAGGGCCTTCCCCTACATCTGCAGCAGTCACCGGCAGAGCCGCAGAGAGCCTAGACTGACTGATTCGTGGTGAGGGTTGGCAAATTCTCTCCCTACCAGCCCCCACCATACACAAAACCATGGGATTCCTGGTCTGTATGACACCCCAGACTCCCGTAATTCAAGAGTTTCCCTAAGAAGGGGTTGATCCAAAGGGTTCCAGACCTTATGCCAGCAGAGAAGACAGGGAAGAGTCCCTTCTGAGGTGGAAAAAAAATAAAGGTAGGTGCCCCCCACTCTGAGTCTTTGTCCAGGCAACTCTGAGAACCCTGGCACACAGCATTTTTCTTCTGGAAGAACTGGCCCAAAGACCTGAAGCAACAATACAGGAGTCCTTCCTTGAAATGGGAAGATGGTTCTTGGTGCTGTCACCACCCACTCATGCATCAAACAGGAACCACTACCTGCTACAGAGGACATGAAAGCAGTGGTAAAGGTCTGATATTCTGCAGAAAGTTCACAGATACAGCGTATCTGTGAATGGAAGAGAGCTAAGCATCTGCTACCGTCCCTGCACCGGTGTGTGCAAAGGCGGCAACACCGTCAGATGTAGAGATTCTGTGGTCTTTTTTATTTTTTTTTTTTATTTTTTTTTTTATTTTTTTTTCTTTTTTAAATTTATTTATTTATTAAGGATTTCTGCCTTGTCCCCACAACCGCTTCCCATTTCCCTCCCCCTCCCCCCGATCAAGTCCCCCTCCCTCATCTGCTCTAAGAGCACTCAGGGTTCCCTGACCTGTGGGAAGCCCAAGGACTGCCCACCTCTATCCAGGTCTCGTAAGGTGAGCATTCAAACTGCCTAGGCTCCCACAAAGCCAGTACGTGCAGTAGGATCAAAAACCCACTGCAATTGTTCTTGAATTCTCAGTATTCCTCATTGTCCGCTATGTTCAGCTAGTCCGGATTTATCCCATGCTTTTTCAGACCTAGGCCAGCTGGCCTTGGTGAGATCCCAATAGAACATCCCCATTGTCTTAGTGTGTGGGTGCACCCCTTGTGGTCCTGAGTTCCTTGCTCGTGCTCCGTCTCCTTCTGCTCCTGATTTGGACCTTGAGATTTTTGTCCGGTGCTCCCGTGTGGGTCTCTGTCTCTGTCTCCTTTCATCGCCTGATGAAGGTTAATATTCCTGAGGATGCCTATGTGTTTGTCTTTGGATTCGCCTTATTTAGCTTCTCTAGGAACATGAATTATAAGCTCAATGTCCTTTATTTATGGCTAGAAACCAAATATGAGTGAGTACATCCCATGTTCCTCTTTTTGGGTCT